TGACTGCAAGAACTTCTGAGAGGGAAGTAGAGCAATAGGCTCTGAAAGTAACTTCTGGTAAGAAGCATCAGAAGCAGACTTGGTCAGAAGCCAGGAAGAGAACTAATGGTGGTCAAAAGTCAGAAGCTTCAAACTCTGATAGGCAGAAGAATGTCCAGAAGGGAAAGGAGAAGTCTGACAAAAAGAATGTTCAGGGTTACTGTTGTAAGAACTTTGGTCACTATGCCAGAGATTGTTGGTCCAACAAAGAAAGGAAGTCAGAAGAAGAAAATATAGCAAGAGGAGATTCAGATGATGAACCTGTGTTATTTATGGCTTATGAATCTGATGAGGAACCAGTGAAATTGTCATTTTCTGATTCTGAAGGGGAAGAAGAATATGACTCTGAATATTTTGATTCTGAAGGAGTGATTTTGTATGAGTCAGAATCAGAATATAACTCTGATTTAGAATCAGATGATGACACTGAAGATTTTGAAGATGAGTCAGAATTTGAGGTTTCTGAAGACGAGTTAGAGTCAGAAGATGACTCTGAAGCTGAAGACAAGTCAGAATCTGAAGGTGATTCTGAGTCTGAAGAAGATTTTGCTTCTGAAGAAGAGTCAGAAGATGATGACTCTGGAAACTCTGAAGGTGAGTCAGATGGTGAATCTGATTCAGATCCAGATTATGATGATGATCCAGAATTTGGTGGTGATCATGCTTCTAGAAGGGAAAACTCTAAAGACGTAGGTTCTGGAGGACAAGCTTTTAAAGATGATCATGTTTCTGGTAGAAATCATGATTATGAAAGTGGAACTTCTGAAGGAGGAGCTTCTGAAGGAAATTCCGCCTTTGGCGATGATCATGATTCTGAAAGAGGGACTTCTGAAGGCAGAGGTGATCCAACTTCTGAAGATGGTATTTCTGAAGGTAGTGGCTCTAACTCCGATGGTGATCCAGACTCTGAAGACAGTCAAGGTTCTGGAGAAAGTCCAATTGCTAAAGCAAGTGCTTCTGAAGGGGAAAGTTCTGAAGGTCCAGTTCAGAGGCAACAAAGATTCAGAAGCATCCCAAGAAGATTTGCAGAGTTTGACATGTTACTAGACACTAAAGTAAACTCTGAAGGAGAAGTTATTCAGTGTGTAATGTTAGTAGACTCTGAATCCGTGAGTACGAAAGAGGCTCTTAAGCACCAAGCTTGGTTACAGGCTATGAAAGAAGAACTTGATGCTATAGAGAGAAACAAGACTTGGAAGTTGACAGAACTTCCAAAAGGTAAGAAAGTCATCAGCGTCAGATGGATTTTCAAGCAGAAGCTAAAGTCAGATGGATCAATTGGAAAACACAAAGCGAGATTAGTAGCAAGAGGCTTCCTACAGAAGCCTGGGCTGGATTACTTTGAAGTGTTTGCACCTGTAGCGAGACATGGAACAATCAGACTAGTGATTGCAATAGCTGCTAACAGGAATTGGCCTCTGATGCATTTAGATGTAAAATCTGCATTTCTGAATGGTCCATTACAAGAAGAGGTGTACGTTTCACAACCTCTTGGATTTGAGAAAAAGAATCAGGAAAGGATGGTGTTCAAATTACACAAAGCATTGTATGGATTGAAGCAAGCGCCTAGAGCTTGGAACTTGAAAATTGATTCGTTTTTCAAGGAACAAGGGTTTCAGAAGTGTGAGATGGAGTATGGTGTTTATGTTCAGCACACTTCAGAATGTAATATGATTCTGGTATGTTTGTATGTTGATGACATATTACTCACAGGAAGTTCTGAACAAGAGATAGCTGAGTTCAAGAAAATTCTGATGAATGCGTTTGAGATGACAGATCTTGGAAAAATGAATTTCTTTCTAGGGATGAAATTTATATACTCTGAGAAAGGAATCATTTTACATCAGATGAAGTATGAACTAGAGCTTCTGAAGAGATTTGAGCTAGAAAATTGCAAGGTTGCTATCACACCTATTGATACGAATTAGAAGTTGGATTCTGATTCTGATGGAGAGGATGTGAATGCTACAACCTTCAAACAGATGGTTGGTTCTCTAAGATATTTGTGTAATACCAGACCTGATTTTTGCTATGCAGTTGGAATGGTTAGCAGATTTATGAGCAAACCAAAGTGGTCCCATTACCAAGCTGTAGTCAGGATTCTGAGGTATGTGAAGGGAACTCTGAAATATGGAGTGTTATTTTCGTCTAGAAAAAAGATCGAATCAGAACTTCTGAGTTATTCTGATTCTGATTGGTGCGGAGATGAGTTGACAGGAGAAGTACTTCTGGATACTTATTCAAATTTCTGAGAGGTCCTATTTCTTGGTGTTCCAAAAAGTAACTTGTCGTTGCTCTGTCAACCTGTGAAGCTGAATATATTGCAGGTGCTCTGACTGCATGTCAAGCTGTGTGGATTCTGAACTTGCTGAAAGGTCTGAAGATTGAGGTGAATAAACCTCTGAAATTGATGATTGATAACAAGTCTGCAATCAATCTTGCCAAGAATCCAGTGTTGCATGGGAGAAGCAAGCATATTGAGACCAAGTATCATTTTCTGAGGAATCAAGTTCAGAATGAAATAATAGAGGTTGTGCACTGTAGCACTCAGAAGCAGCTGGCAGATGTTCTGACAAAGGCTATCAAAACTGATCAATTTCTTGATGAAATTGGTGTTGTCAGTTTTGGGTAAATATAAATTAAATGATGGTGTTAGAATTAATTTAGATTTAATTAGATATTAATTTAGATTTAGGAATATCTTTTAGATTGTTTATATCTTTGTTAGAAGATATATATCTTAGATCTTCTTATATCTTTGTAGAAGATATATTTTAGATTTAATTTGTGTATATAAATAGCCCAGTGAAATAGGTTATTGTAATTCATTGTAAATCCTTATTTTTGAAGCTATCAGTAAATATTCCTTTTGCCTTTTATCTTCTTTGTGATCCAACAACTTACAAAAAAAATTCAAGGTCGGATCTATAGTTTATTAAACATCTATTTTCAAACATGAGTCGAACCTTTTTGGTTACCCTTCAACTTACATAATAGCCTATTTCAACTTACATAATAGTCTATTTCATTTACATATATTTAGATAAACAATTCAATTAATATTTAAATAGACTAACAAATTAGAAAAACAATGAAACTAAATGTTTTGCTTGTATTAACTTATCTAAACCTTCCTTATAGTTTGTTTTTTTAGTACTTGTGAAAATTCCTTAGTGTAATTTTTGTGATACTGTTTTGTATTTTAGTACTTGTGAAAACAATTAACTAATTTTCATAAATTTTTCAGAATAATTAAATTTTAATTTTGTATATTAATTCAAAGTATAAAATACATAATAATAATAATAATAATAATAATAATAATAATAATAATAATAATAATAATAATAATAATAATAATAATAATAATAATAATAATAATAATAATAATAATAAATTTATTCATATTTATTTAAATAAAACGGACTCATAAGTTTTTTTTAAAAAAATCTATAACATGTAGACTAATCTTTTTAACTATATAAATTTTTAAAAAAGATTAAACTATTTTTATCTTAAAAAAATCTGATCTTTAGATCTTAATCCCTTCAACCTGAACTACTCCCACTCCTATCTCCAACAATGAAACTTTATAAGCTCCAAAGATTATATATAATGAAGCTTAGCACCCTTTTAGATCCACCACTGGGGTGTTAATTAAGGATGCTTTACATTGCATACATTCTTACCTATGAGCGACAGAGTCAAGCTCTACTCTAATCAAAATTCAATCCTAATCAAGCAATAGTATTCAAAAAGATTTGGCCCTTTGTATTTATTACTTAATCTCTCTCTATATATATATTTCAACTTTTGTGTACAGTGACATAAAACGTATCACACAGCAAAGGAGGAAAATAAAAGCAAATCCAGACACACAGAACAATATTGATATGACCCAATGTTCTTTTAACCTCTATCTCATAGCAAGGGACAACCATGCATTTGCATGCCTATAAATATAACCCTAACTATATATTTCTTTATACATAAACTAAGACTGATTGAGGAACTCTTCATGTTCCCTCAAAGGCTTCCAGTATTCAGTCATATATTAATTACTTGAGTGCTGGATGCTTTTGTAGGAACTTGATAGCTTCTTCTATGTGAATATGATTCAATATCCAAAACCATTCTAATGATAATTCATGTACTCAGATGAATCTATTTGGCTATAATAGAAGGAAGGGTATGAGGAGCTGAATATTGAGTAAGAAACCTATTCATTTTTATAGTAAATTATAGTTTATCTATCAGTTTTTGGTTTTCCCTAAGGTTTCCGGCGAATCAAAACTCTCTGAAACAAAGTGCTGGATTCTCTTCTTTTTCTTCCTAACTGTGATACAAAGTTTTAAAGTCAATAATTTCTTCCTAAGTTATATTTCACCGAGTATAAATCAGTGTCAATAATTCAATTCATGAGCCAGTTTCATATACAAAAGCAATCATATACCAAGCAACCCAAATATAGGCTGCAAAGAATGATGTCATGGGAGTAAAATATAGAGAGCAAACTCCCAGCACTAAAAAAAAATACATGTCTAACCAAAAAATCAATATACAAAGCATCAAAATAGAAAGAGTCAAGGTCTTGCTAGCACCGAACACCATGGATACTAATTTCCCAATCTGTAAATGTAAAGAACAGGAGATATTAAGAATGTATATTTATTGGTGTATCGATACGAAGAATTATTTAATGAATTTATATAGTTTCTTAATAAAATTCACCGTATCTACGTTCATATTACTAATTACTGCAATTATGAAATAACTACCAAAAAAAGTTAATTCATCATCAATACGAACTGCACAGTTATATAGGAAGCACTCACTTTTCATACCACAGTTGTCAATATCTTTACATTCTTGGTTATTTGCGATCAATCAACGCATTTTTAACCGAGGTAGTTATGGAAATATTTGTATAGAATTAATGTAACAGAAGTTATAGATTTACCTCATGATAATATGACCAGTCCAAGGTACAAAGATGCGCAAAGAAATACAAATGATATCATCCCCCTAAAAGTGGAATACATTATAGAAAGGAATGTCAATGATGAATAGTTAAAAACAAAATATTTGGCATGCTAACTATTTCACTGTGCCTCCTATCGCTATACTATTACTAAAGCTTCAAGAAACATCTTAATTTTCGGTAAACAACAGGGTGGCAAAATCAAAACAAGCATCATAAATAATGGATTTTGTTTATTAGAGAATAATGTGTTAAAAATATTCCAATTTCAATCATATAAAAGCAGTAAATTTTGGCTCAAAAAGGAAACTTTTTTGTATTGAAGTATGTTTTCATAAGGCAAAACTCACCAAATAACTCCCCACCCAAAACCATTACAAGGGCATGGACAGACTTCTGCAAACTTCTCAGCATCACTAGAGTTGACTCTTCTAGATATTAAATCATCATAAATATCTACACCATACAAATTTCAAATCATATGATATAACCAACGTCGAGATATTTATCCAAATTGAAAAAAAGTATAAAAGGGGGTAGAAAGTATACCATAAACTGAAAACAAACTATTCATCACACCTGAAAACAGAATCTTAATTAGTTGTCCATACATTTCAAAGAAATAACACAAAATATCCACTAGAAACAAGTTCAAACTATTTGTAGGACAAAGTTAAGAGGACAGGAACATACCAATGAAGAGAATGACATAGCGAAGGATATGGACTTTGGTTTTCTCTTGCAGAAGCCAAATCACAGCAATAAAAATAATAAATCCTGATATTCATTGATTAAGAAGCATAATGTCAAAAACATTGATGATATACTCTTTCCTTTTTGACTTTATATTTGAGAAGATAAATCACTCACCAATACAGAGTCCTCGGAGTGTCCACTTTTTGGACAAAAGTGTGTTAGTAAGACAGAGAAAAAGGGATAAAAGTCAGGATAAATATTTTCAAAAGATTTGATAAAACAATTTCACTTCTGCATGTATAAGCATCTTACATTTTTAGCAACAAAGAGCACAATAACCAGAGCAGCAAGGAAGCAACCAGCAGCAATCCTTGCAGTGAGAATGTTTGTGGAAGCAAGAATCAAAGCCATTCCCCAAAATGACGAACCAAGATCTAGAGGAAAACAAATCATAAAAATGGTAGATCCGATTAAAAAGTGCTTTTATCAAATTCAAATCATATGCTTTTATGGTGTAGGTGTACGTGCTTCTATTTGTCAACCTTTTTATTCTCTGGCACCTAGCATGTATACAATTTATCGTCAAAACCATAGATAACTTGGTAAAAAACAGTGGATAGCATATAAGCTATAACTAATAGCAGATGAACCTATAGCGGATGAGTTAGTTGACAAAGGAGCTAACCGATTGGATTTGAAGTGTTTGATAAAATTAGCAGTTGAATTGAACTAACTGTTAAATATAAAATCACATCAAAATATATTTTTAAGTAATATTTAATGTTTTTCAATGAAGATAGTGGCAGTAAAAATAGGACGAAAATGGTGCACTATTAGCTCAAATGGCACATGAAATTACGTTTGAAAAAATGCTATATGTTATTGAAAAACTACTATAAGTTCGTGAAAGAAGAATCGTTATCAAACAATTATATTTTGACATACAGGCTTATACGCTATAAATAGGGGTGGAAATGGGCTGGGCCGAGCTAGGCTTTGCCAAGCCTGAGCCTCGTAAAAAAAAGCTGAAGCCTAAGCCTGGCCTATAGTCTGTCATAGGCTTATTTTTAGACCTGAGTCTGGCCTTTTCTAAGGCCTGATTAGCCTGCTAGCCTACATAAAAGCCTATTATTTTAGACATATGTAAATAAGCAATTTAAATAATGTTTAAATAGACTAACAAAATAAAAAACCAATGAGACTAAAAGTTTGTTTGTATTGATTTATTTTAACTTACCAATTAGCATAAGTTTTGTGAGACTATTTGTTTAAGAGAACTTGTTAAAACAACTTATAACATTTTCATAAGGTATTTTCATTTTATTTTCATAAGTTCTCCAAGATAACCAAGTTTTATTTATGTATTTTGATTCAAAGTACAAAACATAACCTAATAATAATAAAAAAATATTTATATTTATTTATATAGGCCGGACCTGTTAGGTCTAAAAGGCTTTTTTCAAAGCCTGAGGCCTAGTCTTTTTAACTAATTAGGCTTATAAAAAAGCCTAAGCCTAACTTGAGCCTATATAGGATGGGGCATAGCCTGAGCCTATGTAGGCTAGGCCATAGGCCCCTGTTATCGGCCTGGCCTATTTCCACCCCTAGCTATAAAGAACGGTTAGACCTTCCCATACAAAGTCTGCACTCATCGCACGGTGCATAAACACCCAGAAATATAAACTGAATGAGAGTAATGGGAGAAAAGTGTGTTACATCCAGCAGGCAAGATAATCCAGTATATTCCACCACGCGTCTGTGTTACCCCGCCCTCGTTTCCATGAACCTGGATACCCTCCACCTATTGGCATCAGACGAACAATGATTCAGAATGAGAAGAATGAAATAACAACAAAATAACTTACAGCAGAGTCAACTTAAGAAACTTTTCAGTTTTAATGTAATAAATAAGACCATTGCGACCCGGTCCGCAGAAACCCACATAATGCTAATCCAAAGTTGAATGTATTGGTAAAAATATGCTACACAACTTCACGTTTACGAAACATGCAGCATTGATGCATTAACATGTTGTTGCAGAGGAAACCAATCATCCAGAGAAAAATAACATTAACCTCCTACATTTACAGTCTTACCTTGCCACAAGTAAGCAAACAGGCAATCGCATGACTCGCTTCATGCAGAAACACAGTAATAAGCTTAAACGGCGTAAGCAGAAAAGTCCTCCAAAGCTACAATCACCACAACAAAATCAACTGTATAGCCACCGAGATACATGTCATTATACCCAAAAACAAAATCAAAAACAAAAACTACATAACATAAATATCAATGGTCATTAAATCTAGAAAATATCCAAAACCTCACTGTTTTAACCAATAACAATTCAAATAGGATTTTACAAACTAAGAACCTTGTTTCGAAAAAGGCCATTGTCAAATGTCAAGTCAACCCAGTTGTTCAGTTCAAATTAGGTCATCCAATAGATCTATCTACCAAACTTTGATCAAGTCACAACTAACCCAAGAAAAAAAATCAAAACAAAAATGCCATAACTTACAAACCTCTTAGCTATTCAACAGCGCGAATCTCTCATGAAAACATTTTCAAGCTCAATTTATGAAACTAAACATAGAGTTGCATTATAATTTACAACAACACAAAATCAATTAGGAGTTAAATAGAATCATTAATTATGAATTACAGTAAAATTTAAACTAAATCCTCAATAATTAACTATAATTCAAATACCAAGAGTGATAGTTTTTCTATTCTGGAAGCAAGCAAGAAAAATGGGTTTAGAGAAAGAAGTGGTACCAGGAGGATGACAACGGTGTAAACACCAACGAAAGCAATGAAGAGCTTCTGATCGTGATCACAGCAGTTCTTAAGCTCCCAGTTTGCCATTGTTTTCTGTGATTGAACTGCAGAGATTTGAAGAACTCAAACTTTGAAGAACAAATTGAGAATGATTTTTGAGTTGGTGGAAAAGGTAAGAGAAAATAGCAAAGAAAGATAATTTTTGCTTAAAAGAACAAGTACAAATACAGTAGTTTTTGTACTGGCTTGGGTAAGGCTTCGTCTCCAACGCGTAATAGTAAAGTCAAATTAAACAAATCAATTATTATATTTTTTGGTTCAACAAATATCGAGAAAAGTATTAGGATTTTATATTTTTATTGGATTAAAAATTTATAAATATGACAGGAGCAAAAGTGATAATAACTCATTATTTTATATCGGTGTTTTAAAAATCTGGTGTTAAATTATTGGATTAATGGTTAAGTCGTATGACTATTAACTCGGGCTTAATTGAAAAAAATGTGATTATATTCATTAATTTTTCTATTTGTAATTGAAATGTTCATTATTTTACGGTGGAATTAGAGTTGATTGCTAAATAAGGAAGTAAAGTTTGTTGTTGTGAATTTGAATTTGGACTTTTTATTTTTTACAAACACTCTTCTCTTTCAGTTGGTTCAAAATAGTACTCTCAATATAATTTAGAAAATTTAAATTTTTAGAACAGACACTCCTAAAATGTATTACAGAGGCAACATACAAGTCTTTTGTGAATGAGTTTAATATACCAGTCTATGTATTTATTATCTTTTCCAACACCACATCAGGTTTGACCATTTTTCTGTCTTCACCTTTGATTTGTTTGGAGCCTACCGTAGATTTGAGTCGACTTCTCACATTTTTTTATGTGATATCGGCAAAGTACTCCCTTCGTCCTGTCGTAACCGGCAAAAAGAGAGTCGGGACCATTAATTTTTATCCTAAGGATGGGAAATAACGGATAACCCTAATTCGTACAGAGATTCCAAATTTGTAAGTCAATTAGACGAATGGAAGGTGTTAGACACCCCTTACCTCCTTTGTGCTCAAGGGGCTCCTCTTTTAGGTTTAGGGGATAAAACGAGTATTTGGTAGTCAATATTTATATATGTTGAGAAAAGATTTAATTTTTTAGTCGTGAACTCGCGTTGACTTTAACTGCATGCCTACGTATCTCCTTATGAAGAATCAGAGTCCAATTTCGTAGTTCGAATGTGTGTGGTTAATTTTTTTTATGGATTTGTAAATTTATATACCCCATCCCCCAAATGATGTAATAGCGTAGTAATTCTACTTTCCGCAATTTATCGCTTTCATATAAATGCTAGTAATTAGGTTTGTATGGAAAGATAAAATCAACAAGTAGATAATCCTAATCAAAGATTAAATGCATGCAAATAAAACACTATTCACACATGCACTCTCAGGGTAAACCCACTTGTTGCCTTATAAAAATGATCATGTTATACATGTGGGATGTCTTAGCAAAAACAAATCAAAAATACAAGATCATAGTCCCTCGATGTCGCTACGAATGTTACCTTTCAAATGATCTTAGTCCCTTAAAGAGAAATGCTAAGATATCTCACAACATTGCTATCATGACTATACGATGACCCACACCCGTCTCTTTACATTCAAAGATAAGGCTTCTTACCAATCAATGGTAAGATAGCAATATCAAAGAAAGAGAGAAACGAACAAAAAAGACTTTTGAGTAGGTAGAAAAGTTCTTAGTTGCTTGCTCACTTTCAAAACAAAACACACACCAAACATTTTCAAAAATAGACATCTTTTCAAATACACTAACACTTTCTATGAAATATTTTCAAAAGTCCAACACTTTGTATACGTTCTTACAAAACGAGAATCATTACAATGTTTGCCTAAACGAATACGCCTTTTCAAAAACCACCACAAAGCGCACTTTAAAACAAAAGCAAGTGATCTAACAAGAAACTAAGAGCCCGTAGATAACTATGGATGAAAAGGGTGCTAACACCTTCCCTTTTCATAATCTACCCCCTGAACTCAAGAAATAATATCAAAGGTCTTTCCTGTTCTTTCCACCTTTCCTTTTGGATAAAAGAAAAGTTAGTGACGACTCGTGCTAACCGCAACAATTACGATCAAACGCAAAACATTCTAAGTCAGTTCTCCCACTGTATTACAGAACTGGCGACTCTGGTGGGCAAAACTTAAAAGTAGGGTTACCTTAGGGCTAGATCACCTTTATTTGCTTTCATTGTTTGACTTGATTGCTTTACATTTTGGTTCCTTGTCTGGGCTTGTTTTGATCCTCTACCTAGATCTGGGATACCTTATAGGTAAGTAGCAATACGTTGTAGAAACTGTGCGGGGTATACCGACATGGTCTAAGCAATAGCTACGTTAGTGTGACACGTTTGTAGGTATTGGTAGCCTTTGTGTAGTCAAGGAGAATACAGGGCCACTGTGTGGTGTCATGAAGCACTAACTGACTTTAGAATCTTTACTTGACCAACTTGGACATTAGGAAGTAGTGAGATAGCCGGATTTGGTGCAGTCTGAAGTTGGTTGATACTCGATATTACGCTCATTGAGATCGGACTTCTCGGGATATTTCAGTCGCCATTAAAGAGACTTGTGCTGAAATAATGCCAGACAAGAAAGATCAGTGACATTGAGATCCCTTAGAACCCAGTTACTATTACTAGGACAAGTTGAGCCAACTAAACTTCAAGAGGGTACTTACCTACGAACTCCATGCAAGCCTAAACCTAAGGACTTGTCTACTTTGTGTGTATATGATTATTTATACATAACAACTTGCTTGATTTGCATACTTGTACATAACATTATAACATCATACCATAGCATTTTCAATAACCATTTCAAGGATCTCAAGGGCCTGTGATGCAGGGTCATGTTGAGCCAGGCGCCTATCAAGGGGAAAAAGGATTTGTTCTCTAATCAAGCATCGTCAAAGGTCAACGTATAACTTGAGTCAAGGGTTATAACCATGGTGAGCTCGATTCTCGTGCAAGGACATCCACCGATACAAAGTTTTCCAATCAAATTTGTTGCTTAACATTCAAATTCTAACATATTTTTGTGTTTACCCCCTGAGATCCTTGAAAAAATTGCATCCATATATCATGCATGTCATCATAACAGGTTTTCTCGTACGAGCTTTCTCATTTGCTTACTGTTTATTTCAGTAAGAGATGGCTCTAGAGAAAACAGTAAAAGATCTCCAAGCTCAAAACGCTCAGCTCCAGCAAGCACTCATGAAGTTGGCCAAGGGGAATGAAGATCTGAAAACACTCTTCACCAAAGAGAGCAAGAAGAAGAAATTTTTTGTCATCCTCAACGTGAGAAGAAGGTCCAAGGGGCATACCCATCTCACTCAAAGAGAAGATGCTTCTTCTAAAGACAATCAAGAAGAGGAAGCTGGAAGCATTAGAGCTAATATAGCTACTGATGACGAAGAGTCTTCTGAGGAGCAGTGTTCACCAGCGGATGAAAAATAGAAACAACTTGAAGACAGACTAAAAGCTGTGGAGATCCAAGCTATGCCTATTTTGGATTTAGGAGACATGAGCTTGGTTTCTGGAGTGGTCATCCCACCAAAGTTCAAAATCCCTACCTTTGCCCCGTATGATGGAGTCTCTTGTCCTAAGATGCATCTAAAGTCTTATGTTCGCAAGATTCAACCATACACAATTGATCAAAAGCTTTGGATCCACTTCTTCCAAGAGAGTTTAGCTGGGACACAACTTGAGTGGTTATATCAATTGGAGAGTTCCCACCTTCACACTTGGGAAGATCTAGCTGCTGCTTTTTACAAGCAATACCAGTACAACGCTAATCTTGCACCAACTCGGGTGCAGTTGCAGAATATGGCCATGCGTTTCAACAAGGGCTTCAAAGAATACGTCCAAAAGTGGAGAGACCTGGCTGGCAGGGTGCAGCCACCCTTAACTGACAGGGAGCTAATTGACATCTTCATGGGAACTTTGACAGGACATTTATTTGATCACCTAATCGGAAACTCCTCATTCGGATTCACCGAGATAATACTGACTGGTGAATGGGTCGAAGCTGGCATCAAAAGCGGAAAGATCCAAGGGGCTACACCCTCTGATGCTCAGAAAAAGCGATACAATGGGAAGAAAGCGTCCAATGATGTGTATGATTAAAAGAGTCTTAACAAGAGCAATCATGACTAACATGTGGGGGAAGTCCTGATCTCTGGTCCTGCGTTGCAGCGTCAACAACAAAGGGGAAATCAACGAAGGCCAGATGAGCCCAAAAGACAGTTTACCAACATCAAGATGCCGCCGTCTCAGGCACTACAACACTTGTTGAGGATGAACCTGATTACGTTGATAGGACCTCATCCAAACCCCAAAACTTCTTCTCCTAACTACAATCCTAATGTAACATGTGCTTATCATTCCAGCAGTCCCGTGCATGATACTAACGATTGTTGGGCGCTGAAGTACAAGATTCAAAACATGATTGACACCAAGGAGATCGAGTTTGATCCTCCAGAGACTCCCAACGTGATCACCGCTCCCATGCCAAATCATTGAGTGTTCCAGTTCATTTTTGAATTTTCAATTGTAATTTCTTTTGTTATTCAAACAATTATCTATTAATGTTAAACTATGTTTCATTAATGCATTGCATATGTTTGTCTTGAATTCATCCATTCGTTTTCACTATATTTAAACTATGATTTTTACTCTCAACTCTTGCTAAAAGTTACAAGCCTTTAGAGGGAGGATGACGAAAACAATACCTTAATCCCATACAGTATGCTTTTGGATAGACCTTGTTGACGATGTACATGCGTTCTTTCAAATCCTAAATACTGGAGTTATAAGGAAGATAATCCCTAGTCAAACCCTTTGAGCCAAATAAGTAGAAGTTTTCTTTTTCACACAAATTGAAACCTTTAATCAAAACCTGGGACAGGGTAGCCTCTCAGTTAATTCAAATGCGTGTTCATTCGCAAACTTTCACTTCGTAATACAACGAATAACGTCAAAAACATTCCTCTAGAATCAAAAGACAATGAT